TGCAGAAGTCACATTAAAACAGATAGGCTTGAGCTGCAATAAATACCCACGAGTTTCCATAAAATATTCTCCTACAGTATTAGCGACTGCATGTGGCCCGCGATGACTGTGGGAGTGGGCTATGTGGCCCCCGAGCCGAAAAGGTTGGGCACCACTGCCTTACATGGTACTGGGGCTCTTCCAGCAAAAGATCTAAACAGATAAGAAAATCTCCTTTTTTCATTTCTTTCGTGAAACAGCATTTTGTTTCCCATGTTCAAAGTGCCATACTTTTGTTGTATTAGATACTAAGGCCATTCTTGTCCCCAATGATATTGTTGGGGGGGACGGGGGGGGGGGGGGGGGGAGGGGGACACATGCCTCTTTGCCCCCATGGGTTCGGCACCAACACTGAGAATCTGAATCATAGACTAAATATGAAGAGGAAGAACTCGGGTGTGCAACGACGTATTCTTGATATGAACCGCTGCGCATTTTTTGTGCCCTCCGGTTGACAGTGGAATTTAGTCCTTGACGATCCCGCAAATAGCTCCATTGAGACGTCTCCCTTCTTTTTCGGCATTCAACAGCCTATATACTTTTTGTCTTCTGCGTCAACGCATAGATGAAAGACTCTAACCCAGGGGTTCTTAACCAGGGGTGCGTGGTGGATGCATTGAACTTCAGGGGGGGGGGGGCGTAAGGAGAAAAAGGTTAAGAACCCCTGCTCTAACCGATCATGTCTCCAATTTGACAGTCAAACCGCTGAGTGGCACGATGGATATGCAGTAATGATAGCGTGAGGGCTACTAATAGCATACTAGCATACAATACTATCAATATTACTTGATTGGCACTATCAAGTTGGTAGCGTGATTGATGCCTTGTACGCCATTGCCAATGACCAAGGTGCCGATTCAACTGCGAGACATGAAGACATGACTTTCAACATGCTATCTTTCTAGTTTCATGTACAGTATATCTTATTGCGTGGCATGATGTTCTGTTCAGGATCAGCCAGATTGGCAAACGTTTGCTGAGTCCATCTCTGGACGTTAGAGTTTCCATCAAGCTGATTGATACTAGGGAGTTCCTGGTTAAGTACAGAGAAGGCTTGAATGAAGCGAAAACCAAGACGAGAAACAGATGAAGAGTTGGGGATCGAGCCTGTATTTCCAAGTGAAATTCAGAGTGTAAAACTGAAAAAAAAGTCGGTTAGATTTTGATGGAGCATTTGAAACCATAAAAAATCCAGAGGTGCGTTTTCGTGAGGTTGTGTGTTTAAAATCTCTGGTTGATACAACACTCAATGCATTGGAGGAGTGGTTCTCCTTGATGAAAGAGCACTTGGACCAGATTTATTTTTCTATATGATATCTCAGAACTCAAAACATTGAGCAAGGATGACTTAATGAAGGAATGTAAAGATCAGTGGCGGCTCGTGATATTCAGCAGTACTAGCAGATCACGAACAGAGAGGGGTGGGCCCGGACTTTCCCAGCACCATCGACGATATACTACTGTTGAATATCACCAGCCACCCATGGCAAGGATTTGCATCTACTTCTCGCAGCCAACAGTTCATCAGACATAGATGGCCTTCAGTTGTATGATGCATTCAGGGTCATCTCTGATTTGGTCTCTTTAATAACTGCCCCATTCCCACCCCATCCTATGCCTTCACCACCTGCACAGGTAATGTTGCGAGATGTCCCCCAAGGCTACATTTGCCTTGAGAATCCCACAATCCCAGTAACTGTGGTTTCAACTGAGCTGGAGCTCATCATTACGTATTTCAGCTCAAGCACGACCCAGGAGCGCCTCGTAGGATTTGCAACAACCCTTAAGTGGGTATGACATATACTGTATATCCGTCATGGTGAAACGCTCCCTAGGGGGAGTCTGGCTTTTTTTTTTCGTAGTGTTATATTTCGAATTTGAGTTAAATACAAATTCGAAACTCGAAATAGGAGTGTAAACTTGAGAAAGAGTGGTAAATTTCTTACACAAACATTAACTGTTACTCTCACGAAGATAATGTCTGACTCCGGTGGTAGACTTCTGTATGAGAAATTCCCCACCTATTAACAGAATATGAAATCAGAGTCGATGAAGATGTTTTCAGGGCACACGAGGCACTACAAGGTCACTTCAAGTGATGGGTAATGCTGAGCTCATTTAACTACGTATTTTGTGCGAATTAAACAATAATTTCTATTCCTCAATCGCTTTTTCTTGCCTGATTCAAGATTCAAGATAGTGATATCAAGAGGCGATTTCGCCCATTTCGATATCACGTGTCGAGGTCGAGCGTTCCTTAATTTTAGGGTAGGCCTAAACCCTTTGAGGCGAGGTGGTTACACCGTGTAACCACCTTTACTTTATTTTACATTATTTTCTCCCTGCCCTAGGAACGGTGATTTCAAGGCGAAACCACTTGTAATGGCTGACCACAGATCTAGGGGTATAATTCGAAACTTTGAAATCACTTTGTTGGAATTGACAGGTTCTATGAAAGAAAAATTATGACATCAGAAATTGTAAATTTGTGGCTCAAAGGGTTAAAGCTAAATATTTTTGTATTTTTGTTTTGTTTTGTTTTTTTTTTTGTTATTTGCCTATCCCAGTTGCTTACTGTCTAGTACCTAACGTCAACNCTTAATCATTCTTGTGGCCCTTCTCTGTACTCCCTCGAGCGCCAACAAATCGCCCATATTTGTAGGCCTCCAAAACTGGATGCAATATTCCAACTGGGGTCTTATCAGCGCCGCATGCAACGGAAGAATAACGCGCGATGTCCTACTCGCAACCGACCGACGAATGTAACCTAGAATCCTATTGCATTTGGCCACCGTCGCTTGCGCGTGCGAGGAAAACTTGAGGTCCTCATCGATAGAAACTCCTAAATCTCTCTCACCGTTTGCCTCATCCAATTTAACATCGCCGAACGCGTCGAGAGACCTACCGTTGTTTCGACCGACGTGGAGAACTTTACACTTACTTTTATTAAACCTCATGAGCCATTTCTTGCTCCACTCGTCCAAAAGATTTAGATCTCGCTCGGCTCTACCCCTATCCGCCTCCCCCCTTATGGTAAAACCTATCTTGGTGTCGTCGGCAAATTTACTTATCTTACCCTCTACGCCGAGATCCAAATCGTTTATGCAGACCAAAGATTGACGAGACAATAAACCCTAGAGGGACTCCTATGAGAGCCGCAATTTTTTTTGCAAGTATTAGTCAATAGTCTATTGTTGAGTTATACCACAATGCCTCATCCCGATTAAAATGTGGGTGCGTGTGCAGGTGGGGCTAGGGTGGGGGGCACTGGCAGTCTCTTTTCAAGGGGGGCCGAAATAGCTAAGGTTGGCACTGTTTTTGAAATCTTCGATTTCTCCAGAGTTGGGCTTGGCTGCTGCGATCTTCATGTCACACTTGCTAGCTATATTTGATCTAAAGAGGAAATGACACTAATATAACTTACATAATATTACGGCCATGGCGTTAATATCAATGCATTAACGCCTTTTCTCTATACAACTTTTTGAATGAACTATATGTGTAGTTATCAGTCAAGGTCTGCATTTTACAGCAGGGCCGCCCAGAGGGAGGGGCATTGGGGACAATCTACACCTGGGCCTCACGTATCAAGGGGCCCCAAGGGTGCCTTCAAAGGGCCTCAAGGAAACCTTCAAGGGGCCTCCGGTTTAGTTTTGCCCCGGGCCCGCAAACCTCTGGGCGACCCTGCTCTTCAGTGAAACTATTCGGTGTCAAAAGTCAAAAGATTTAGATCCTCGACTGAATGGATGGAATTTTTGATGCTATGATGCATTGTTGGCGAGTGCTCAGGACGACCCTATCTCAGGTGCACCCTGACCCTGGCCATGTCCAGGGGCTCTCATTCTTACTTCTATTATTACCGTGAAGACCTCTACCACGCGGTGCAACGTCTATACTCTTCTACGAGGCGGGCCGGCATTGTTACTCGATCGACGGAACTGCCTTCGTAACGTTAGCATTGCAGGCCTACTAGTTGGACCTTGCAATGAATGATGAAGGAATGGAGGGTGATGCGTCTTCGGGATCAGATTTAGAAGAGGAAGGAGACGCGACAGCTCCGGTTGACCGGGTGAGTCCAGCAAAACTTTTAGGCTTTAGTCACCTTTACCCAGGCTCAGTGATGACTCGTGGGTGCAAGATCTGGGGAGACCAGCTTATGTTCGTTGTGCTGTTATTGCGAGCGTGAAACTTGAAGGGCATGTTTCAACATATCGTGCCGCTTGAGTAGCCATTCTTGAGGTCATAGAAACCGCCCCCTAGTTCTTCACATCGAATCTGAATCCGAGAAGAAATTGAGACTTCTTGCGAATGTCCAGGAGAGAATCTTGTCGGGTCAGAAATTCAGTATTGGTTTGCAACGTTCTCACCTTGAGGTAGTCAGAATGTTACTGTTTCTGGAGTGACTTTTACATCAGTTTACATGTGCTTCATACTTTTCTATGGGCTTTACCATGAAGTTGGGCAGCAGCAGTTTCCTCAGAGGGAGAGGTGCCACTTTATTGGCTTCATTCATTGGTATACCTCTTTGAATTTAGTAATGATAGCAAATTATAGTTGTTTCTCCAACACCATTGACAATAGTTCTTGGGAAGGGGTGTAGGTGGGTAAAAGTCAATCCAGAAACAGTACTCACTACAATGTCCCTTCTGCTTGCCCCTCATGAAGTAGAGCTGGCAGCCTTACTTAAAACTCAAACATCAATATCAAGAGTTGCAGTTTCTATCCTCTGCTGCATCCTTGCTTATTTCATATTTTTTCCCATTTACTTCTACCTAGTTTTGAGCAGTGAGAAAATTCAATGTTTTGATGTTAGGGAGGAGGTCTATGGAAATTCCATATCTAGGAGAATGAGGAAATGATGAAAGTTGCTACTTTTATAGGATAGCAAGGATATGTCACATTTCCAGGAATTGTAATTTATTTAACTATATGCTGGGTTATGTTAATGCTTGGCTTTCAAAGTTTCTTGAGGAGTACATCTTAAAATGAATCAACCAGATGTCTGATGCAACTTACCAATATTCCCCTCATTCTGGATGAGTCTGTCACTCATTAATTGAAGAAAATATAGTTAACATGCTGTCATTTTTTATTTCATGTGCCAAAATATGTTTGCAGTTTTTTTTGTATTCTGTTTTTGAAGACTATGCTAATCCTAATGAATTGGATAGATTTCCAAGCTTCTGGTGGTCTGTTGATGAATAATATGGAAAAGGTAATGGGCTTAGGAAAGCAGTTCAAAAAGTATTGCAATAAGCAAATAGATTAACACATTCACTGCCAATGATGCATATGTGTCAAAAACTAATGATAAATCATTTGTTGGCAGCAAACACATTAACTACTCTTCTATCTTGGGTAATTTCTTTTTAGTTTTGAATTCCTTTTTCAAAATAATTGACTTACCACTGGACTTAGTTTCTTTTACCACCATATGGTTATAGGCCTTATTCAGTGACTAGGCTAGGTTCTATTTCCAGGCTAAGTATTGTTTTTAATGCAGTCATGAATGAGACTTGAATTCTTCTAACATTGCCTGATAAATGTATTAGTATTGCTGAATAAATCTTGGAGTTTTTTTCTTATTCCCATAATTAGTGCAGTAGCAGTGTTCTTGTAAATGTGATGCTAATGAATATCTTGGTGATGTGACACAAATCACATAAGACCCACACGATTTCACAACATTTGCAATGTTGTGAAATCGTGTGGGTCTCCCCCTGTGAAATTTGTGATATTGAATGCATAATTCTCTTCTTAACCCTTTTACTGCAGAGTTTTAAATTGCCTGACAACCTACCAGTGCACAGTGGTTTAGAAGTCTTCAAAACCTGGCCAAAAGTCAAAAAACGAAGTTACAGTAAATATGATATTTTAATATTTTTTCATATCAGAGGTGTCCGTATAGCACTAAAACATTTTAATTTCTGATTTCCCCCCTTTCCAATTAACAGAATAATTACTTAAAATCTAGGAAACTTCACAGCACACACTGGTATAGTTTTGAAGTAGTTAGTTTCCTGGCAGTTGATTTTTTGAAATAAAGTAGCCACTTTGTGGTGAGAGAATGAAAGCGATTCTAAACAAAGGTGCTGGTAAGTAACTTCTGTTAGTTATTAGCTTTGTAAACCATCAGGTTTGTTTGTAAATTCCATTTTTGTGAGCTAAAGTCTTTTTGCAAGTAGATAAATTTGTTAACTGGAAATTTTTGTGCCAATAGATGCCAGAGATTTATCTTCTTAAAATGAACCTCACATATGTATGTTATTGCAAAATGATGATTCTAGCTGCCCGTTTTTGCCTAGAATTCTACTTAAGGTGTAAAAAATCGCATCTGATATTGTAACTAGTGATGAATCAGGGGTCTATCACTACAATCTACCAACTAAAAATTAAAGTAGAATCAAAGCCTTTCATGGCACTCGTACAAAATTTTGCAAGCCCCTCTTCTCCCCTTAGATGAGGGCCTTTTCATTTTTGCAAATTTCAGTCACTCATGCTAGGCAAAAAATTGTGCAAAATTCAGTAGAACTTATAAAACCCTATGGAAAAAAAGGGAATAAAAAGTCAGTTTCTGGCATTATGACAAATATAACTTTCACTGGACTTTAAGAACAACCCACTTATATCAGATCAGTCATGCATACTTAGTGTATGCACTGAGTGACTGAATATGCTGGTCAAGAGTACTCAGCAGCCATAGTGAAAGGGTTAAAAAGCGAATTTTTTCACGTGACAAATCCCATCTGGAGTGAGGTTTTTTCCAGGAATGCAATGATTTGGCCTGATTGCCAAGAATATTATGTTAGATATGAAATAAATTGCATTAGGTCTTTTTTTTATTGGTGACATTACCTTGGTAGTTTCTCAGAGTATGAAATTCTACAAAGCAGGGTGGGTTTTTACTACTTAACAGGTTAAAATTTCTTCATCATATGTTAGAGAATCGTGACAATTGCTTACTTTTAGCAGTAGGAAAATAAAAATGTTGTGAAAGCAAAAGTGTTTGATACACCCTGTTCTGGGCAGCCTGTTACAACAGCAAATGATTAGTACATACAGAAGGATGACATTCCTCTAAAAAAAAAAAACAAAAAAAAAACAACAACAACTCGTTGACCTAGAAACACCTATTACCCTAACCAGAAAGCCCTGAAATATCAGTGTTTGTAAGAAATAGCCAGAACTACTAGTTAGTGGCCCACTGTTGCTTCATGACAATGCCACTCCACATTACTGACATAATGTGCCGGAGATGATATATGAGGAAAACTAAAATATCTCACATCTGCTATATTCACCCATTTCTCTGTAATGATATGGTCCAAAGGTGATGCCCAACCTTAACATGTTGGGAAATGGGACCATTGAAGTACTCATACCTAATTCTACTGGGAAGTCACAGTTTACATCTGTTTTAAATGATTCTCAGTCTCCGTAGCAGCTCAGATGATTTTTCCAAGTCCTTTGCCACTTATATGACCTTGGACTTAGATGAAGTGGGAGTCTGCTAGAAGGGAACACATATTTCCCAGGTGGTCTGTATCTAGTGCTATGCCTGCTACTCATTGTGGTATCGTACCTTGTCAGGGGAAGTTTGCTAGAAATTGCTAAATAAAGATATCTTTGCCTGTCAGCACATACACCATAGACCAACTCTGCCACCATGAATTAACTTGTGCCATTAACATAGAGTTCTGTGTGCATAACTGCAACCTATTCCCTAATTTGTTTTCTTTTTCCTATTGTCCAGGTTCAAGTTGATTTTGAAGCCCGTAACATTCTTGACAGTGATCATGACAGTATCAAGATGCTGTTGGGGCAGATATTTCCCAAGAGTACAGTTGATTTAGGACTGGTGACAAATGTTCTTCTATCCCAAAATTATGTTGGGAGCACCATTAAGGTTTGTTGCATTTATCTATTTGATTATTGTGCAGATCACATGAAAATCCTTGAAGAAGAAGCAAGAGAAAATTAGCATGCCCTATGTCCTCTATATGCATATTTAAGCTAAGTGGCAGCAAATTGTGGAACAAGGTGCTGCCACTCAAGTGCTATTTGATTTAGTTCAACCTGCACCTTGTCACTCTTGAGAATTCACTCCAGATATTGGTCAGTGTCGTATCATTCAAGGTATGGTTTGAGGTGGGAGTGGATTACTGTAATTTGCACCAGCATATTGTGCCACTCTGAAATCCCCTATGCCAATGCAATCAATTGATTGTTTTTACTGTCACCAGTAAACCAGTCATCACAAATACCTTTTCACCTCTAAGGCTGTTTGATATGTAAATAGTGAAGGACCAGATCCTGAAATATGTCAATATAATGCATAATAAAGTGAGTATTCAGTCCTGCTATTGCATTTTCCACATGCATAGTTTTGTTTGAGGAAGGAGGGCTTCTTTAAACAAAACCATGCATGTGGAAAATGCAATAGCAGGATGATAATTTTCTGGGACCCTGTGTATTTTCTTTCATTCCAATTTCTTTCTTGGTCAATTTTATGTGGGGGAGTTTCAGAAATATGCTGAGACCCTCAGGGTAAACTGAAAAATTACTTCTCTTTTAAAATCACATCAACAAGGCTCTCAGCATGCCTCTTATCCTTTCTATGGCTAAGGTTTTGTCTTGAAATGAAATGGTGATTTTGATGCTCCTAGAGATGTGAGATGCCCCTTACGTGTACCTTACCATGGTAGTAATTGTTGAACCTAAAAGAGAGGCGGAAAAAATGGCTGTCAACTGATTGGATTTGCTATTCTTTTATTTGAGACCTTGCCTTTCATGCATCAATGTGATTTTTCTTTAAATTGCAGCAATCTTTGCCAGAAGACATGGAAGATGATGAAGATGAAGGAGATGATGCCACCTTTGGGGTCACATCTATCCTCAACCTTACCAATGATCAAGTCAGTAAGACTATTCTTTTGCTTCTGAGGTATTCATTTGCTCATTCTTTGCAATTACCTTTTGCAATTACCTTTATGTGACTTTTCTGAGGCACAAAAAATTTGAGAGGGGTCATGGAATCAGAATAAAACTGTCATATACTGTCCTTATGAATCATTAGTTCTAATTGCAAAGTATTTCAGGAGAATCCTGCAGTAGTAGGAAGTCATTGCAATCATGAATTATTAGCTTTGAAAAACTGCAAAGCTGCTTAGTTTCTCCCCCTTGTTATTATGGCAGGGAATGATTCCCAACTGTAGGCAAACAGTGACAGCCTACAATAGTTTGTAATTGAATTCATACAAACATGAGCTTCATATGCTTGACGTCACCTCTTACATGAGAAGTTTATCTTTGCATGCACCATTGAAATAACATGCACAGGGATTATGAATTCATTCGGTAACCACTTAAAAAAAATAATAACGGCGTCTTGAGAAGATTTAGGAGCCTTCATCCCCTTCACTGTTTCCAGATTGAATCCGTACCCCCTATAGGAGCGCTTCCATCGATTGCAGGTTGTGACATCTTGCACATGGGTGGTTTTATCTATTGCCTGCTGAGGCGAAACCTCTGGAAATGTGTGTTTCCTTCATTCACCACTATAGGGGGATGGTACGAATTCAATCCGGAAACAGTGTACAATTGTTTGTTGTCCTGTATAGTGACTATGGAACGTTGCGCACCATTGCAAGGATATATTTACTATTTATACTCTTGGATTTGTTCCAAAACAGTATCGTTTCCTCACGGCAGTTGTTCCCAACCTGGTCACTCTTTGATCGATGTGAGGTTATGGTTTGACTCGTCTAAGAGCCAGGACACAATAAATTACCAGTTAGTTTTTGTCATACATGGTGTTGTTCCACCCCGCATTCTTCTATCTTGGTCAAAAACCTTCCATTTGGGTCTCGAAGTCTTCCATAAGCAAAATATAGGTCGCTCTATTTGTTGAACTGCCGTCCTACTTGAATAATCCTCCGTGTTCTCAACAGGGAGCTTCGCACATTGAAAAAATAGCCTAGATGCCCAAGGCACACCACCGCCACCCCCTCGTTACCTTGGCACTCGTTCAAGAGCCGATTTGCCATGCCTTTTAGTTTAAGATCTGTTTGTACGCTTCTGTTTCGGATGTATTGCATGACTCTCCCATCCTATTGGCTGACAGCGTCAGTTGGGCCTTTAATGGTGATTTTTTTTACTATCGTGATAGTTTTTTACTCTTGATTTTGCGCCCATTTTGATATCGGGCCCTCTAAGGCCTTACCTCATTTATAATGAGGATATCCTTTTATCGTTAAGCTATGATGAAGGCAATTAGACGTGAGTATGAAAGAAAGGAGTTCTCCCGAGAGATGCCTTTCCAATAAGCGGGAAAGTTATTATGGCATTCCACTCGATTTTGCATACTCAGACTCTTGGCGTTCAATCGCAGTCCGCACCCTTTTCTCAGTGGTTTGGTTTTGAGAGGTAAATTGACAAAGCCAGGCGCCCGTATGCTTTTTTTTCCCGTTCAGGACACTTTTTCCCCCTTGGCGTTTCTGCTTTTTTCCGATCATATCTACAACCCGATTTTCGTTAAGATTGGGCGGGAAGATGCCCGCCCCCTTTCTCCTGTAGCCAATCCCTTGTGGCAGCTAGGCCCAGACAACGGAGCGAGACAATGCCCCTTCCAAGTCTTAAAACTATTTGACAGCTTGTGCTTATTTGAAACTTTAGTGTCACTTTCCATAGTTCACCCTCCTGCCTGCCTAGGAAGTTCAGGATTGACCGTTTCTCGTTTTGTGCCTGAGCTGACAAGTCTTTGTCTTCACTCGTTATGAATGCTGTGCCGTCCTGTATAGTGTTCACGGGGCTAAAACCGACCAATCCTAAGCGATGAGCTGCCCTTAGAACTTCTTACAGTTCATCTCTTACATATGGTACGTAAGAACGGACACGAGTTTTAAGGACGGCAATATAATTAAGGCGTAGACCTCAATTTCTCCGTACTGTAATTTGCTTACTAGTGCTGCGCGTTTCTATCGCTCTTTCGATGTTACTTTGAAGTATCTGCCACGCAAGTGCAGTCATGAAGGCTGGAAACTGCTGCTTACATCGCCATAACGCGATGCATTTAACAACTTCTGTTATGCTGCCGATTGGCCCAGCAGTGTGGCAGAAAATAACTAGGAGTTCGAGTGAGATATTTATTATTACCGTATGGTATGTACCGTATGTAAGAGAACACCCACTATATTCGCATAGTTCCTACCCAATTGGGTTCTGTCGTGCAATTGAGGCGTAACGGCAGCAAACAAATCGTATCCAGTCTCGCGCGTGCTGAACCTGTGCTGAACGTATTGGGAAGCCTGTTAAGTTGCTGTCGTGTTGTGTATCATGTATTTATGATGATGACGAGTGGCTAAGACTACTGTTGATGTAAGCATGGCTCCACTCATGTTCTGTGTCTCAGCATGGAGTGCTATCTTAGAAAAATTCCCATAAGTAAGCCTTCAAGGCAATCCCTTCCAAATGAGCAGTTTTCTACAGGGTATCCCGTAAGTCAGGACCCATTGGGAAAAATTAATAAAATTACAAAATAGTCCAAAAATTTATTACATAATCTGTTCAAAGTGTCCGCCGTTGTGTCGCACACATAGTTGAAGACGCAATCTCCACTGCAACCGCACTTTCTGAATCACAGTCGCAGAAATTTCTTGACACACCTCCACAATGCGTTCTTTAAGGTAGAAAATGCTCCCTAGAAATCCCTATGGGTCCTGACTTACGGGACACCCTGTAGTAAAGCATCTCTGTCAACATTGTAATCCTCATCTTTTAACCCTTTCGTGGGTGGTGGGAAGCATACTTCCAAGAAAACATTTGACCCTCCCCATGCTCTGGGAAGGCTACATTTGAGTACAAATTTGCCTACAAAAGGATTAACACTTTTAGTGAAAACATGGAGGCATCAACAATGTATCCAAGACTCTGACATTTTAAGAAGTCTGAGAGGGTTGATTCCCCATTCATCTGCACCCTTCCAGCAACTCATCCTCAAGCAGGGGCAGACAGGAAACCCATATAACATATGAGTGATAAATGTATTGCTAGTGCCACCCATTCTCCTTTCGGCATTTCACATTTTAAGAATATTATCCAACAAAGTGGTTTTGTTTTTTTTTGTATTGTTTTGCTAGTTTATTTGTTTATTTATATTAATTTTCACAATGTTATACTTTATTTTATTCTTATTTGTTTTTTTTCTTCTGATGTCTTACATTGTTTAGTATCTTTCATTTCCTTCTTTGGCAAGAAGCAGTGTCTCCTCCATTTGACTTAATTGGGAGACTTCTGGACTAGACCCCGCCCATCCAGCACATTCACTAAGCATGCTTTGCTAACTTCTTTGTAATAGGGGAATGAGGGGTTGAAGCAGTTGAAATCCTTCCTATTGTCCAAGAGTGCTGAGAATGCCAGTGACCAGACTCGTACATTATTGAAGAAATCACTGTCCAATGAAGCAGCACCTGTTGGGTGGATCATCAATGAGCGCTTCATCAACATCCCTGCTCAGATATCTGTCCCATTCTTTGAAAGCCTTATGTATGCACATTCTGCCTTGCCTTATGAAATATCAAAAACTTGGGAGAGATTAATCAGGAATGATGAAAGAAACTCATTGGCTTATGTGTTCCTGATGATTTTTTTTCTGACAGGAAAGAATTGCAGAATGCAAAAAGCCGGAAGCTGCTGTCCTCATTTGCCTATTATCTCTTCATTTGCAAGTTATACAAGCAAAATCTCACAACAGGGATGAGTAAGAAACAGAAGAAAACAAAAGCACAGGGGGAGCCTGTGAATCTTGTTTGGTCCAATCCAGAGGAAGAGATCATCCATTCTGTAAGTTAAATCCATTTTTGTTAAAATGCTTGTTTGTACAACATGCTGTGGCATCGACTTTCCCATGGCTTTCATCTTCCAAACCAGTATGCTGTTGGGAGTTTTGACTACAGTGTGGAGACAGAGAAAGATTCAGCTCTTCAGGGAAAGTGGTCAGAAGATGATGATGAGTTGATCCCATTGAGAAGAGTTTTACTTATCCCTTCTGAGACTTTCTCACAGTGCATTTGTGACATCAGAAAAGCTTTCACATTGCCTGCAGACTCCAGCTGAGGCCTTCTTTCTCTCAAAAGGTTCTTTACATGTTTACCTATGATGGCTAGGTAAATGAAATTCAGAAATATGAAGCCATTTGACCCCAAGCCTGTGTTTGTATTTCCTCTGGAGTTTTGACATGGACATGAGTAAATGAATCATGAGAGTCATGGTTCTGGTTTTGAATAAAGGATAAAAATGTGTCTTCTGCAGGAGCAGAAAGGAATGCCAATTTGCATGGCATTCTAGTCTTTGTCTATAAAGGCTCTCCTCAGTTCCACATAATCATTTGAGCTGAATTTCCTTTTGATGCACATGATTATGCATATATGTTGTGGATATAGCAGCATCAACCCTTGTCTTGGGAGTTTTCTCAAGTTTGTGCAAGTGGCAGACTTAGTATGAATGTTTGTAGGCCTAAGTCAGGTCACATATTCTCAGAATGACAAATGTTTCATCCTTCAGCTTCTGCTATTGCCTTCTCTGTCAAAAGTGAACACAAGGCAGAGTGATTACAAATTCAAAGGTGAAATGGATGTTGTAGCGAGGCAGGCTACTGTCAGTCACGAGAATGCTCAATTCTTGGAAATGAAGCAAGAGAAAATTGCCCCACAATGTAAGTAAAGTGAACTTTCATCATATTTATGTGCTTCATGGTGTAGTATTTTTTAATGATAGTAACTGGTTTCACAGCATCCCATGCCAGGAGAGCAGGAACACTGGGAGAAGTGAGCAATGTTTTTGACAACAAGGGTCCTGATTCAACTGGAGAAGGGTCCTCACCCATAATGAAGAATCCCAATGTCTTGAATGCAATTCCTAACAATGAACTTAAGAAGACTCCAACCCAGGTGATGAAACCCAAGGAATTTGAATCGCAGCCTTCCCAGGACACACTTTTAAAATCGGAGATGGATGAATTTTCCAAGTCTGATGAAATTTCCAACCTTGATATTGGAGTTTGCCCATCGCCTTCCCAGATTGAAGGTGATCTTTATTGCTTTCTCAATCCATGCTTTGTCCTACTTCATTTTGATGTGTTTCACATTGTGGTGTTTTGAAGATTGTAAGTCCTGGGACTATGAGGTTTTTGTGGGTGAGTCTGCCAAAGACTGGGATGCATTCTTGAAGCCATGGGAATATTTCTGCATTGCTAGTCCCAAACTCTCTCCTACCAAGACAGACTATTTGGATGATAATTGTCCTCTCCCTGGTAAGCTACCTTGAGATTTTCTCCTAGTTTGCATGATGCTATACAGTGCATTACATATATGCACAAATTATATTAATGAGGAATCTGAATCACCTGAATTGAGATTCACTATTGGATCTGATCAAATGTAAAATCAAACAAAATTTAATGATGGTAATTATGAATGATTTGCAACCATTTGATGGAGAATGAATATACTGTGTTCTTAACAATCCATTCAATACTGCATGCCTCTGTGAGTGATTTCAGCTAACATTCTGTAATCAATATGGAATGGAAGCAACAGTAATGTTTGAGAGATTGACTAGTTCATCCACAAACAGAGCTTGTGCTGATGTATATACACTAGAACCATCTCTAATTATTATTATAATTTTGGATGAACTAGTGTCTCAAAAATAGTGTTGAGTTTTCAATTGTGCATTACCAGAAATCAAAGTGAAGTAGAATATGCTTTCCACACTCATAAGCACATTGCATATTTATCAATGGATATTCATGCATGTGTTACACAAAAAAAAAGTACAAGCCTTCTGAATATCCTCCATGTCACAGGTAGTGAATGCACTCACTGCAGAGGCACCATTGTTTCCTTCAGGATGAGAGTGTGTTGTCAAATATGGGACACAAGGCCACTGTTGTATACTATTTTTCCCTAGTTCATTATTTACCATTTCAGTGGTATCACTCAGCCATTAAAATCCCAAAACATGTCGGCACCAGTTTGCTTCTTTGGATAATAGTGCATGTTGATGCAAATAACTACAATGTTAGGAATGCTATTGAAGCTGTTTCCCAGAAAAACCTTGCCACTGGGATGGAAGCAGCTGTGATCCATGCACACAAATGCTACCTGTGAGATGGAACACACCAATACATTATTTTTCAAATGTAACGTGTGCATATCCCTTAACTGTGTTATGCAACTGCTGACTCAAAGGGGATTGAAAGCATGTCAACTTCATTCTGCTTTGCTTTGTTTCTGGTAATGCAATATTAAAATCCCAGCAATGCTTTTGGGACACTGGATATTAGGTGTTTTTTGTATGCAGATAGTGTGTAAAACACCTAATGATGTCTTTGATGGTTGTCATTTACCAATAGAGAAGGGTACATTTTTTGTTTTGCAGAGTTGAATACATATGTGCAGAATGAGTACTTTTTTGAGGAAGAGGCCTTGCTGCCAACCCCTGACTTGGACTTCTAATCTCCCAAATTCCTCTTGGCCACAGTTTGTGGTTTCTGATCTCTTTTTGGTCAAGCTGTCAGGCACAAAATTCCAGTTACAAATAATGTTCTGTGCCTTTGTCACTCAGCTTTCCCCCTCCCCAATTTTTATCTTTCTTTTTAGAGATTGGACTATTTTTTACTTGAGTGGTGAGTGCTTGATTGTATGGTTTTGTATAGCACCGAATAAAGAGGGACATGTTTGTGCCAGAAAAAATGTATGCATGCTTTATCACTGAGGTCAGTTGAGATCTAGATCCATCTCCATGTAGCGACTTATCCCAGAAAACCCTTGTGGGGCCTTTCGACTAAGAACTTTGATGGTGAGCCACTTCGAGATGTCCTTCCAGAGAGTGAGTGCTTCAAGGTTGATCATGTCTTCAGGGCCTTGTCGGCACTTTGTTTCGTAGGGACGGCATGGTAGAGGGCTGAAAAGGAAAAGAAATTCATGCATTTTCTAGGCATGACTATGCATCTCATCATGGGAATACTGAACCTATCCTCTCAGAACAATTGAAATAATTGAATGTAGTATACTCACTTGTCCTTGCCTTTGACAGCCGCTTGCATATAGGTCATGAATCGTACTCCCTCGTTACTAGAACCAATTGATGTTTTCAGCCGAGTCAGGTCTCCTAAGTGTCTGAAGAGACGAAATGGAAAAGAAATAAAGTCTTGGTTCAACAAGATAATCTTATCTGAAGAATCTTAGTGTCTCTAGAGAATCCCCTGTACATAGACTCTGGGCGTCTTGATTACAAAAAAAGTTCATTGCTTGTTGCTTCCATGCCTAGCTAATAAATGGCATCCTCGAAGGGCATGGGGTGTTGGTTGCCATTCCAAATGACATTTCTAGGTCCTAGTGGTTTTTGCTATCGCTGTTCGCTTAAGCCTGCTTTGGAAACACCTAATTTGGATCAGTTCTGTGGCATAGCCTGTAGCCTGGGAAGCCATCTTCTCTTTCATTATTTTGATGTCTTGCTTGGCATCAGCTTGTTTTCTAATTATATCCTGGATTGGAAGTCATCGTGTGCTCGTCTGGACCGGGGTGGGGGGTGAGAGACCTGCACACCCTGTCTGAGACCCCTGAGACACACGAGTGTCTTCTGAATGTAATGAAGTAAGAATGAGGTCCCTTTTTCCGCTGGGTTAGCTTTCGTCACCAGGGGAAAGACTGGTAAAGGTCCGAATGCACGAAGCTAGTCTTTTAAAAAATTATAACCTATGACTTTCTGGGGGTAAAAAGTATTCAATTTGTAATCTCTTAAAGCTGCTCGTTACCCTCTACCTCATTTTTGTGTTTATGCATCATTCTACTACACTAAAGTGGATATTGGGGTATGTTCCCACGATATGGAGTTGATTCAGATGGTGGGAGTCACTTGAGTAGCACTGAACGCGTACAGGCTTCCGCTAAGTCGCCTCCATGAAAATGGTGCATCTCCAGTAGATCATGTGAATTTTGTATGACACCTCTCACTTTCGCTGACCCTCGATAACATGAGCAATATTTTGGTTCCTCTTATGGTACCATGATGACAAAATATCTGTTGATTATATTAATATTTGGCAAAACCTTTTCTTTGCATTTGGATGCACGCTTTTTTTTTACAAGTACATCAATAAATTAATTTTTTTCTGCCTAAAGGCCTACCCCTTCTGATAACGATATAATTTCAAGTACAGCTCAAACAAGGCCCTTTTTTTTTACCAGCTGGTATGAAACAAAAGTATGCAATAGTCAGCTGTGTACTGATGGGATGGTCACCCCTCGTACATCAGGGCGCATCAATTCATCTGTCGAGAAAAGCTTTGGGACTTGAAGCGCATTTGCTGTAAGAGCAATGAATGTCTTCACTTTGGACTACCTTCGAAACCTTAAAGCTGTAGAGACGACGCAAGAAGGATCGCATTGCAGTTATTTATGCGGCTACTCGAAAAGAAACCTCTTATGATATTGTCATGTGTCTTGGGCCTCCGCTACCTCAGACCCGTAGAAGAGTTTGCGGGCTTCCATGACATTCTCCATGTACCATCCATGTCTTCTCGAAGCTTCAGAAGATCCGGACAGGAATGGATCATGCCCTTAACGCATTGTTACTAATAATGGCGGAAATATTTGGATTTTGATGTCATGGTGCGTAGGAAGGTCCTTCTTCCCGTGAAGGAACTTTACCAAGCGCACAATAAACCTAATTTTGCCATCCTTAACCCTTATGATTTATTGATACCTCTGATGCAAATCCCACGAGTCGTCGAAAATCCAATCACACCTTCAAGACAATAGCAATAAGTCCTAATTTCGCAGTTGCAAAAACCTCGGGTGGCAATCACAATGAAGTTTTGTTTATGCCCGATGGTCCACAATAGTGCTCACACTCGAAAGCAAAGAGTGATCTAAATTGAATAGGGAGCATTGAAACATGACTATAGATTCATAATCTGCCAAGGTGGAGACTGGGATAAGCTAAACCTAGAAGAATCTAGATTTTTCGATCAAAGATCTATGTCTTATTTTCATGCATAGCAAAGTCTCAATCATAAGACAAGCTCATCCTGTTCCCTAATCGCCTAATTTGATATATCGTTGAGACGATAGGCGACCATTCCTTCACCATTCCTGAAGGGAATGCCAGTACTATCAAAATATGTTAGGCTTTTATCATCTGTCTTCTGCAACGCAAAAGTGATGTTAATGAGTGAGCCAATAGTAAAATGTACCCATCAGACAAGTTGAGTAATTTTCTTGCATAGAAAATGTGTAGACACTCCTCATTTTTCCGGACCTCAACCCTAGTTATATCACAATCCCATGGCTATGATAGCTTCCTTTGAAACTCTTTCCCAGACCCTCAATAGGCCTAGATGATACTTCGGATCTTGGTGGAGGCGACGAAATTGTCTCACCAATTTGCTCGAATTCTACGACTGGGCGACAGAAGAGAGGGATAAAGGGAATCCCGTGGACATCGTCTATTTAAATTTCGCGAAAGCTTTCGATACCGTTCCTCACAAGAGGTTGCGGGTTAAACTGGAGGCGCACGAGATACAGGGTAGGACGAGCGAGTGGATCAGTAGCTGGTTGGCAGGACGAGAGCAACGGGTGATGATAAATGGGGAAGCGTCGAAGGAGGTCGGAGTCGCAAGCGGTGTCCCTCAAGGCTCGGTCCTTGGACCGCTTCTGTTTTTGGTCTACATAAACGATTTGGATCTCGGCGTAGAGGGTAAGATAAGTAAATTTGCCGACGACACCAAGATAGGTTTTACCATAAGGGGG